CGGAAAGACATTGAGGTTATTGTGGATGTCAGCCGAAGACCAGCTGGCGTTCAACACCGGCATGCCACGCGTCCCACGAGAAGTGAAGCACGGCACGCGGATACCGACGAAAAGGGAAGCCTTAGGAGCGGTGATGTCATTGTTCGACCCGCTCGGGCTGCTGAGCCCTTACACCATCACGGCAAAAATCATCTTGCAGGCGCTGTGGGTGCAGAAGGTCGAATGGGATGACTCTCTGCCCGCCGAGGAAGCGCGGATGTTCCAGGAATGGAGAGATGACTTAGCCTATATAGAGGAACTGAGATTGCCGCGATGGTATGGCACGAACGACAGCCAACGGTCGCAACTGCACGTATTCACGGACGCAAGCGAACAGGCATATGCCACAGCCGCGTATTGGAGGACGGAACGCGGGGATCGTAGCGTTGACGCAGTCCTAGTAGCAGCCAAAGCGAGGGTAGCGCCCATGAAAGCGCAGAGTATACCCCGGATGGAGCTTCAGGCGAGCCTGGTAGGACCCCGACTGGCCGCTGACGTACTGAAAGGACGTCGTCGCGCGGCCGAAGTCTTCCTATGGACGGTCTCGAAGAAGACGCTACATTGGACTAGGAACGACACCGCTCGATACAATCCACACGCGGCCCGCCGGATGGCAGAAAGCGCCGAACATACAGAACCAACACAGTGGCGCTGGGTACCGACCGCCCACGACGTAACTAACGACGCGACCCGCGCGAGATATACAATACGGACCGCCGCCGACAGATCCGTCGGGCCGGCGCTTGTGTACGCTCCAGAGAAAGAACGACCCAAGGAAAGCAAGCCCGTCCCTGCAGAGACAGTAGCCCGTGCCCGGGCGAAGGCAAAGCCCGTAATGGACAGAATGCGGTTCTCCTCATATGACCGAGTGAGGAGGACCCCGGCACAGGTGCTGCTGCTCGCAGAAGAATACAGGCGACGGGCATGGAAGCTGGGCCGGGAGCGCCCCGCCGAAGCGGGGAAATGGGTCAAGTGGCGTTGCGGTGAACGCGGACGGACGGACGGACGGACGCGAGGGAATTTTTCGAAGGTCGACCCGAAGGCTGGTCCTCCCTAGGGATAAGGGCTGCGAAGATCTGCGCCGGGGGGAGGCTGTTGCGGACCACGAGTCGGCATCGAAAACATGTAAATAAATTTGTGTATAAATTTGTATTTTTCCAGTGTTTGACTATTGTCTAGGTTAGACTATTGTTTGTACCATATACCCTTTGTAGCGGCATAGATACTGTGAATTCTATGTCCGCCCATTGTGTAAATTCTTAGGGATCACAGCTTTAGTGTAGCCTGAACATGTGGCATTTAGTCGCACGTGGTTTTTTGTAGTTTTTTGTATTGTTACTATTGTATCTAATTTTAAATGTGTGCGTATTCGCTGTTCCGGCCCGTCGGTCACCGACATGTGCAGGAATTGTCGGGAGGGTGGGACGGCCGACGCGCACAGCTCGGCGGGGGTGGGGAAGGACGCGCTCGGGCGCCCGTAAAAGGCGGGTTGGTTCTCGATCGTGCTCTCTTACGCATACGCCACCGACGAAGAACCACCGCCGGCGCAACGACCAAGAAAACCCCACTCCGGCCGGCCGACCCATAGAATAAGAAACAAATTGAAATACAGTCCACATATTTTGAAAATCGAAGATCTTTTAATTGTGTACCCCACAAGTTTCATCTAATAGATATAAACATAAAAAATAATGACTTTTACAACTAATATCCACATATGAGGACAATGGTGGTCATGAGAATGATGGTGAAATACGTCTAACACATGTGTTATACGTATCCTGTACTTTTACTTTCATGATCCTCATCATCATCACTATCTACACAGTTTCAATTAAATTTAGTTCAATATCTACGTTGATCAATGACGAGTTATTGTTTTCCTGAAGGACTTTCCTTTTTAAGATTTTAATTGTACTTTTTGGTTGTTTTACCCTTTCCTTTGCCTTTTTGTTTTCCTTTTCTATAAGACTGTCATATGTCGTCGTTTAATTGCCGTGGAGGTCAGAATGGTAGAATGTTGCCTTTTCGACCTTGTTTTCCCTTCTCTTTCTTCTTCATCTGCCCTTGTCTTCATTCCCTGGCTATAAAAACTATACAAAACTCGATGAGTGTTGATCAACTATTCTGGGAATGCCTGAAGAGAACATGGCACCAGAGTGTAACTTTGTACAATATTTCAAAATCGAAATATCTGTAAGAGACGAATGGCAAAATAACCATACACCGACTCTCTCAAAGCAGGACCTAGTTTGGTTTACAGACGGGTCCAAAATAGGAGAAGATGTAGGATGTGGAATGTGCGGTGTAAAACCCAAAATCTGCAACTATATAGTCTTAGGAAAATAGGCCTCAATCTTTCAGGCAGAGACTTACTCCTTAATTAGATGTCTGGAAGTAATCCTAAGCCTTAACTACATCAATCAGAACATATACATTTATTCGAAGTCAAGCTGCACTTCACTCGTACGAAATCAGTTCTAAACATATTAGAAACTGTAAATGAAGTAGGAAGCAGAAATAATATTATACTGAGATGGGTCCCCGGGCATTCAAATATCGAAGGCAATGAAAATGCCGACCATCTGGCAAAGTTAGGGGCAAAAACAGTCCAACTGGGTCCCGAACCCTTCTGTAATGTGCCTCGTTGCCTAAAACTGGGACATCTCAAATTAATAACCAAACGAGAAGCACTGAATCACTGGCAAGAAATGCCAGGATTAACACATTCAAAGCCCTAATATCGGACTCCTCGAACAAATACTCCAATAGACTGCTATTGAGTAAAAACAACATATGCATGGTGACTGGGACCCTCACAGGACACTGCAAATTAAACAAGCATATGGCTAAACTAGGCCTATGCACGACAAGAATCTGCAGATTCTGCCAAACTGAAGAGGAAACGCCGCTTCACATCCGATGTAGTTGTAGCCCAATCATGCATAAACGAAATATCTCCTTTGGAAAGTTTACATTCTTTCCCGAGGAGATAAAAACTATCGCTCCTAAGAATATCCTTCAATTCTTGTCCCTCACGGGTAGCGTACGACGGCTAGGTAGCGAACTTTGAAAAAGGGCGAGCACAATAGATCTGTGTAGATCGCAGTGCTACAGGTACAAACATCTGACAATAGCCCAAATAACCCAATAAAAAAAAGGCAAGTAATGAAATGCTAAATACAGTAAATCAGAGATTGTTTACCAACATTTTTGGTTTATCGGGCCTTATACAATTTTACACGTATCATGCATTATTAATGAGTTTCACGCCCCATGACAAATATCGACTACTTCCTTGAAGACCATGAAGGCAGATGTCATACGTGTATTAATAGGCGTGACGGACTAAAAACAAAACTGAGTATGATATCAGGTTAGTTAGTCTAGCGCGGAGAACTTATCAGGAATTAATTACGATGGTTTCAGGGAGGAACAGCGTGAAAGTCGACCTGACCAGATAATATTGACAACAAGGTCACTAATCCCTATTACTACAACTTCCTTCTCACCGCGTAGTAACGTATTTGGTCAATCATTTCATCTCGCGGACTTCTTCTAAATTGGTTAAGATAGTTGTATTGAAAGTTATTATGGAACAATTATTATTATTATAATAATTGTTCCATAATAAGTTCTGTTACAAAAGGAAATGCATTTTTTAAAGTAGGTAATGTAATATTATTAAAATTTATACCTACATATTTATTTGTCTCAGCAAAAAAATAATCTATTCGAAATGTCCACCTTTGGCTTTTATACAGGCCTTTAATCTATTTGCCGACAAACCTATTTATTTGTGCACTGTTTTCAAGGGAAATTTCCACCAAAACAACACCAAAGATTTTTAAGAGACTCAATATCACCACGTCGCTATAAATCACCATAATTTTAAGTCTTCAGCTCTTATAAGGTTTAGAAGGTTGGTTTCAAGTCAGGCTTGGGTAGTTCGTGCCTTGTGACCTTGTACAGAGTCCTGCTGGAAAGTCCAGGGTATATTTTTTAAAAGTATATTGTTGAGAGGTTTCACATGATCCAAGACTATCTTGATACACTTTGGCTGAAGTTTTCGCTCCTCCTTTTTCATAAAAATGTAGTTCCGTTACTCCTTGATACACGCTCCACCAAACCATCACTGATGCAGGCTGATGACCGCGTTGTACCTTTCCGACCACTTGAGCAGCTTCTTTAGAACTGCGAATGTAAACTTTATTATTTTACTCATTGTAGTTCTTAAATAGTGAAATTTTTTAATCAGTAGGGAGGATATTTCTGTAACTTTCACCTGCGTATCGCGACAGAAGGCGATCGATCAAAAGATCGATCCTCTCTGTTTAATTGTAAAGATTGATTTAGGGCATTTCCGACTATACTTCAATATTTTATATCGACGATACTTCAGGTCTTGTTTTATAATACGCGACAGAGTCCTAGTGGGAATCGCCATTTCTCGCGATAATGTTTTTTGTTTCCTAATGGGGTTTTGACGAATTCAGGCTTTAACAGCATTTTAGGAGCAGCAGCCTTGGTAGTTCTAACAGCACGCGGCCGCCCGATCTTTTCTGGTCTTCGACAGACGAAGTGTTGTGCTATATGTAGATAGTACGATATACGGTCATACGGCTGATACCATGCTTTTGAAGTGTCTGGAATATGACCGACGGCTCCGTACCCACTTTGATCACTGCTAGGATAGCAGATTTTCTTTAACACCCCATTTCGTTGTACTTTTGTTATTAAACACAATAAAATGTGTGAAATGGCGCAAAATCGAAAGATTTTAAAAGAATATACGTGCTTCCAAATTCAAAATATCTAATTATTTTGAATTTGGAAGCACGTATATTCCGTTCGTGTTGAATTAAAGAAAAGGTTTTATGTAACAGTATTTATGGTTAGACTAGTTATATTTGATTCGATTTATCAGGTTGGTGGGTTATGAAAAGAAAACAAATACAATATAATAATAACGTTAGAAATATATTTCACTGATTAACTTTTTGGAATTGTTTATTTCAGACAATTTGTTTTGTGGAATCTCCAGTCAGAACGCTAGAACAAAAAAAACACATGTAAGGACACAATAATGGCAGTTAATAATGATGAAAAACTTATATATACTTATACGTCTGCAATGACTGGCACGTATAGGTGTGGTCATAGACTATTCTATTAGTATTGGTCATAGACTAGAGGCATATGTATAGTAAGTTACACGTGCCACCCGAGTCATAAAAATTTCTGTTAAGTCCAGCAATGGATCGAAGTAGAAACATCCGCCACGTGTCGGATATTCTTATCTAAGGAATGTATGTAGTCTCAAGGCCACAACAAAAGTAGTATCTTGAATATGCACTCTAAATATTTTATTATACATCAATATATCAAGTTTGATATACTTGATGGATTGAAATTGACAATAATGTAAATGGCAGTGCATTAAAATTCCAGCGTTTTTTTAGATAACGTTGTTTTCAATAATTAGTTTGTCATACAAAATATTGTATCTACTATGATTTAGCAACCCATTATCAATATTACTATCACAAAAAACATGGTGGTATACATCCTGCTTTGCACTATATTTAGGGTTGTCAAATTTTAGAATCTGTATAAATTATATCAATATGAAACAAAAAATTAACGTATAAATACCTGGCACTCTAAACTGCAGTAATATCTGTTGTAACAGGCTGAACACATGGTTTTTGTTATTTTATTACATACGCAACATCTTCCTGTATCAAAATGTAAATTTTCTGTTTGATCTTCTAGCTCGAGAAGAGTATTCTGTAATGTTAATAATATTACAATATTTATTTATGTTGTTTTAAACATAAACTAAATTAGAACATTGTAGTCTAATAAATATCTACCTCGACTTATAAGAAGCTGAAAGTAATTATTTAAATAAATAGTGGCTTTACATGCTTACCAGTATATCTACCGTGCAATACGTAGTACCCATTTCATTATTAAACATCACCGATTCATTGGAAGAAACATTAAAATGATGTTTGTTCTGAGTACCATTATTATTTTGTGTCTGGATCTGGTTTTGTAAATTTATTTCATATCTCGGTGGTGCTGTCTGTACATTACGTAGTCTCGAATTATTTTCTAGATCATGATCTGTATTAATAGGTCTTGAATCATTATACAGTGAAGAATGTCGGGCTCTTTTTGCTGGATGGTGGGAAGTAAAACTGTTAGTTTGGCGAAGATGTCTGTTTGGAGAATTTTGGGAAGTTTCGTTCGATTTGTCTTTATATTGTATAATACATGTCTCATTGGGCACCTTGTTTTCAATTATGGTACTAACATTAGGGTAGCTGAGGCGCTGATTACATATTGCACTATTATTAAGAGCTGAATTCTTTTGATACATAGCAGTATAATAATTAGGCGGAGGACCTTGATTGTACATATTTGTTATATTGTTGTGGTTTTCTAATTGAAAATTACTGGTGACCATATTTTCGCTAGATTGTATTCCATTTGGAGTCTGGTTATTATAGAGGGTGTTTGTTGTACTTTGAGTCTGGTAATCTGTATTAGTTCCATTAACAGTAGGTACATGGTTGGAACTAATATGTTCTCTACCATTGTTGGAGTATATTTCTTTTAATGTATTAATCCTGATTTCTCTTCCAGGTGGACCAAATGTAAATAGGCATGATGGTGATGATGCACTATTTGTATTTATTTGCGGAGAATGAATTGTGTTTGAACCTCCGAAACTTACCGCCTTCGGTGGGCTTGTTAGCTGTTGTAGTAACGTAAATGGATAATTTTTACCATAAGCAACTGTGGGTGCTTTGTTGTTCTTTGCCCAAAATAACATTTCGCGAAAAATTGTTCTTATGTAACAGATTTTAATCCTGTTAATTTTATCAGATAAAAATGAGATAGTATTATTCAAGAATTTTTCTATAAAAGTTTTATTATTTTCTTCTGGTACAATTTTAGAGAGCACTATGTCATGACAAATTTTAAATAATTTATATTTGATATGTAAATAGTGTTTCTTTGATTCTTCAATTGTAGAGGCTGTATTTTGTTGATTATATCTTATATGTACATGACGAATGTAAGCGTTCATAATATTTATTAAACACTCAGATACTGTATTTAATGGGTCTTTAGTTTTGTCCAATTCTGTACTTTTCATTGTACCAGATAACCTGTGATTCATATGAACATGATTCTGATTTTGGATTGTGGGTATCATGGTTGCTTGATTAAGAAGTATTTGTTTAAGGTGAATATCTTTCTCACAATTATCTTTTTTTTTTGTATTAATGTTATCATATACATTATTATTTTCTGTATTATTAGATAACACTTCATTAGAATTTTTCTTGTTATTTTCAGTACTATTTGTCGGCAATTCACAAACATATATTACATCGTCATCACAATCGTTATTTTTGTTTGGGTCTGTGTTTTTAATTTCTATTGAATTTTTATCATCCATTTCTTCAAAAAATTCAACATCAATTGGTGCTGTGAAGTCATATTTTGCCATTCGAGTAAGTATAAGATCTGCAACAAACAAAATATCTTGAATATATTACACAGTGGTATTTTCTACAAGTATTTTGATTAGACATGTAGATTATTTATGAGTATAACTTATATTCAATAACAAAATATCATGAATATCAGTTCTGTAGTTCTTGCGTGAAAGCGTAACAAAGATTCGTCCATATACATGTCGTCTTTTAAATAGGATTAGTATGTACGTTTTAAGCAGTCTAGAGAACAGGTCCTGACCAATTTTCTCTTAAGTAAACTTTTTAAATTGGTTAATTTTCGTATTCTAGTGAATGGCAGCTGCGGTTCCGAGGATAGGTTAAGGAGCAGGTAAAATTTTCTAAAATGATTGTTGTTGTATTCTAATATATGGCACTTACCGTTCCGAGGATAGGTTAAGTAGCAGGTAAATATTTCTAAAATGATTATTGTTGTATTCTAATATATGGCACTTACCGTTCCGAGGATAGGTTAAGTAGCAGGTAAATATTTCTAAAATGGTTATTGTTCTATTCAAAGAATGGCAGCTGCGGTTCCGAGGATAAATTAAAGTTCAGGTAAAATTTTCCAAAATGGTTATTGTTTGTATTGTAATGAATGGCAGCTGCACTACGGAGGATAAGTTAAGGAGCAGGCCAAACTTTCTAAAATGGTTAAATGGTTATTATTGGATTCTAATGTATGGCAGCTGCGGTTCCGAGAATAGGTTAAGGAGCAGGTAAAAATTTCTAAAATGGTTATTATTGTATTCTAATGTATGGCAGCTGCGGTTCCGAGGATAGGTTAAGTAGCAGGTAAAAATTTCTAAAATGGTTATTGTTGTATTCTAATTAATGGCAGCTACGGTTCCGAGGATAGGTTTAGGAGCAGCGCCGTCGATACAATTTTATTTTTTGTGATAAAAATAGACCGCAGGAATAGACCAGAGTGAGATGAGATACCCATGGGTACAATGTATACTTCGTTGGTATTCTATCTTAAGATGCAATTCTTTGATCTAGTTTATGGTTTGGTGTCCTACAATTGCGGAGTCATATAGAAATAGAAATAATCTTTATTCAAATAAACTTAATATAAGCACTTTTGAATAGTCAAATTTTGATTGTATTTGCTTATTCGGAATGCAGATTCATCACAAGAAGAATAAGCAAGAAACTTCTGTGTTGCTCTTTTAAATAAATATTGATTTACTTATATTTAATTAAAAACAAGGATTAGGCATGCGACAATCAACATAGAAACCGCTACGCACTTAATCTCTATTCAATCAGATAACGTTGTCAACGCTATGAATTTTAAGTTAGATATTTTCTACAAAAACATTATTATCATTTATAAATTCTTCAATTTTATAATAAACTTTTTTACAAAGAAAATATTTTATGACACATTTGAATTTTTGTTCTGGCAAATTGACTACAGACTCTGGGAGTTTGTTGTAAAACCTTACGCAATTTCCATAAAACGAATTACTGACTTTCGTCAAACTGCACTTAGGTAAAACTAGTTTGTTGACATTACGTAAGCTTTTATTAGTGTAATCACCTACTTTTTTAAAATTGTTAATGTTTTTCCTGGCATACATAATATTTTCGTAGATGTATTGAGAAGCAACGGTGAGGATATTTGATTCTTTAAAACATTCACGCAAAGACTCTCTGGAACCCATACCGTAAATGGAGCGATGGCCCTCTTTAAAAAAACTGTATACGGCAAAATAAATACTGTATTTATATCAGCTGCTTAGCCCCATAATCAAATAACGTATGACATAATCCTATGAAAATAGCTAAAATACACGAGTTTAGCCGTTGCCACGTCTGTTAATTGTCTAATTCTTCTTACCGCATAAGCGGCAGAGCTAAGTCTATTCGCCAATTTAGAAATATGAGCACCCCATTGCAGTTTGGAGTCTAATGTGATATCTAGAAATACAGCATCATCAACAAAGTTAATAAGTTTGTTGATCAGTACGATTTTTGAATCAACTTTCCTTACATTGGGGAGTGTAAATTTAATACACTTTGTTTTATCTCCATTTAATAGCATATTATTAGCAGTAAACTATTTTAAAACAGAAGAGAGAGCACTGTTTACTTCTTTCATATCATCAATATGTCGATTGACTTTAAATATTAATGAAGTATCATCGGCAAACAGAACTATGTCTGCTATTTTTTCTAGTAAGGGAGGTCATTAATGTAAACTAAAAATAAAAAAGGACCAAGAATAGATCTCTGAGGAACATCCATTTTAACACTGAACCTTCAGACCTTAAACCATTTATTTCAACAATTTGCATTCTATTATCTAAATAGGATTTCATCATCTTTAGAGCTTCATTTTTAATACAGTAATGTTCTAGTTTGAGTAAGAGTGTTTCGTATACATATTTGTAGTCATGTAATTGTTTTTTTTTCCTAACAGGATGGTGACAGTAAATATGTTGATTTCTCTTTCCATTTTCATAAAATAAATAAATATATTAATCATATCAAATGTTTCTGTCTTACCTGTGCCCATTTTGAGTAGGTATGTATCTATTTAGAAATATATCTGTAACAAAAATAAGAATAATCGTTAATGTTTGATCAACAGAATTACTATAGTGGACTTTCCGTACCTCCTTCTAATACGGGTACAAAATTAATATCAATCGAATCGTCTTATAGGTGATAACCACTGTGATGGGTCAAATCAACATTTTTTTTTGTTTTTTAAAACATTTTAACAGAAATATTTTTGAACATTATATGTTCAAAAATATTTCTACAAAATTGCAAGTCAAAATTTCAAAACTTGACTAAGTTACAATGATTGTAGTGAGAGCAGGTAGGCCAACGTTTTTTGTCGCTTGGCCTTCCGATCACAATGTAACAGGCGACAGTCCCTTCTTCTAATGAAGTCTAATGTACCTATTTTACATTGTGTGACGTAGTGGGCTTTTTTTTTAGAAAGAAAATCCTCATATAAAGTATTAGAATTACCGACAAATATTAAAAGTCCCACCACAACCTGTAGCGTCTAACAAATAAGTAGCGGCAGCATTAAACATCTAAAATGAAAAAGTCCTAAACGTCTAAGCCTAGCAAAAGAGAACATACAAATATAATTTAGCTATAACATATTGAGACTACGATCGTAATATAAGAAAGACACAAGTAAACCATAGAAAATATAAGTTAAATGTTATATGATATGCAACTACCCTCAAAATATTAGAGTTCATAAGTTTATTATGTACAGTTATATTTTAGCTGAAAACAATACATAGTAATTATATTTATGGACCACAATAGAATGGAGTGAATGAATTAAAATTATCATTTAAGATGATAGGGACGAATAATAAAAGAATTAATGACAACACTTATTTCACCTACGAAATCTCTGTCAGGAAGTCAGGACTCCCCTTCCCCCGTTACGTACGTTTGTACCCAATGCCACCGGCCTTATTTTTGACAAATATATTATACGTATAGACGTGTGTGTGATCACCGTGGGAAGCTCGCTTTTTCGTGTTCCCACATATTACTACAGGTTGACCTTATTTAAAATTTATTTTGTAAGCCTTTTGTTTAAGTATATTTCTTTTTAATTGTTTTTTATTGTCATACAAATAATTTTGCGTTTGCATAACGTAAATACTTCGTTTATAAATTCAATACTTCGTTTATAAATTTTTTTTTTTCAAATAATAAATTATTATAAGTAATTAAGCTCTGTGATAAAGATTAAGATTTAGTTTATGAAATACACAACAAATAAATAATAACTAATTATTTAGATTTACATTAATATTCGTATATAAACGAATCATTCTATTGATACTTTTATTTTATATCTACTATGTTTATATAAGATCCTAATTAATCCCTTTCTATAGACAACTAACCAGTGCTTTTAATACAAATAATTCCCTGAAAACCGTTCTATCCCTTTATTTAAGCTGTGATATATAATATATTACAACTGAACGAAGACGAGTACACGCTGGAGCTGTAGAAGTGGGAACGAATACGAGTTTTTCAAGTTTTTCAATCTTTATTTTGACAACTGTATTATAAGATAATTTTACATACTATTACTAGTTAAAGGTGGGAGTTCGGCTCTTCTGGGGTTAAATTCTAGATACACAAGGTTCATTTTATTTAATACTTCTTTTGTACTGTTTTAACATATAAATTATTTTATATATTTTATTTATCAAATAAGATGATCATCTATTCACAATTATTTTGTTTCTCAAATAATCGAATCTATAGTAATTTGTTCAATGTTTAGTTAATTAAATAACTCTTAAAAGAAGTTGTTTAAAAACAAATACAATTTTTGAAGTGAATATTTTTAATTTATACATTTTTATTCTTATTTTTCCTTTATTACCATTTTATACAAGATATGGGGTTGAAACTAAAATGAATACTATGTGAACCGTCACACTACGTAACATTGTAGACGTCCGTTGTGGTCGTAAACTATTTAACTACTCCTACACTACAGCACTGTCCATGTTTGCAGACCCAAAGTGTGTGCAAAAGGATTCTGAATGTTTAAGAAATCTATGTAACTAAGAAAATACAAATTTATATACAAACAATCTTGAGATATGAGAATATATTTCATAATATGTAGTAATATTATTAGAACCACTACAAATGAAATAAAAATAATCTTCGATTCTAAATATTCCAGTATGAATGTCATATTTCCAGTCTTCTTTTAACAAACTGCAAAAACAAAAGTTTTTAAGGGTGTGTGTGTACACGTATCTTTAGGAATTAGGTATATGACTTAATTCATCGAGAACCTGGACAGATAGAATAGAAGTGTGTATTTATCTAGACACGCGGTAGCGTGTCAAGCCGAGTTTTAAGTAAACTCGCGAGCAGCACCGTGTGTATATTTACACGAACTATTTGGAGCTACTTTTGACCCCCTCATAACTCAAAAACTCTTTCACATAAACCTGTCAAATTTGGTTCATATATTGAGACTTGCGAGATAAATATGTATTCCAAATTTCATAAACATATCTCAAACGGTTATTTAGATATTAATGTCCAAAAATCGTCATTTTTATCACTGATCAACTATAGATCAAAATTATAACCCACTTCCAGATGACCTAGGAAGTTCAAATTTGGCATGCAGATAGGTAATTAGGTGAATATAAAGGAAAAAATCTGAAACTGGTAAATTGTTAACATTTTACTATAATTTTTCACTTTAATTGATTTTATTTCAACTTATACTGGACGATTACTAAAATTCTATGAAAACGTCGATAGCCACCAATTGACATTGATCCCTGGCAAAATAGCTCATCTTGTACTGGACGGAAAGTAATATTGTATGAAAACGTCGATCATTACCAATTTACGTTGACCCCTTTACATCAGTGTCGATAACTAGCAAACTTCAAATATTGCATTGAGCGGTAAACACTAGTTGCTATAATTTAGATTCTGTCTAAAATATACTCGTACTTATAACTAGGAGTATAGTCGAATTTCGTATTTATTATGTTATTAACTGAGATTTGGTATTAATTATTGTTTCAATATTTAGCGCACATCGATAGTGTAAGATCATTATTTTTATAAATAATTATTAAATAATAGGCATTTCGGTATAGGGCGCCGCGGCGCGCCGTGTGGGAGCGGTGCGATAAAACATTGACGAGAACCTGTCCGAGCGAATGGCAGCCGCCCTCATGTCTCAATGTTTTGTTTCTCGATATCTAACCTATAAGGTTGCGATTTATGCTACGAAATTCATAGTTTTCTTAAATTATACTTATATATTTGTGGTTATATTATTATTACATTATTTTAGTAAATACGTATGGTATAGACAATAGTTTAAACCAAAAATTAATAACAATTTTAGTATAGTTATAACTATACTAAAATTGTTATTAATTTTTGGTTATAGTTTTCATATACGAAATATACTGTAGCCTTCGCAAGTTCTAAACATGTTACTTGTCGGTTCTTATTTTATTATTAGTAGTAACTAGCAATCGAAAGTAATAATTGGTATATGAGAACTGGCCAAGTCAGACCTTAGGCTACAGTATATTATCCTAAGTTATAAGAAGAAATGATATTTTATATTGTTATAAATACATTTCAGGACAGACCATTGAACTTGGCACCCATTTAGATCTCACCTCTTTTGTCGTAGAAGTCAACAATCAAGGCATATATCATAATATTAAACTCGGCTATCATTTCACATTTATGTTTTTGATGGGATTAAAATGTTTCGGCCTTATTAGGTATATACTTGTATAAATTTACCTACACGTGTCATTCGTTCACGCGCCCGCCGTTGCTGGCTTGAAGGTCGCTACAGCTGCGTTGATAATGGGTTACAGTACACGTGCCGTTCGATAACAATTCTAAAGGTGGCACGTGTAGAAAGTACTTGTCTGCTGCAACTGTTTTTTTTTTCAAACAAGCTTTAACAACACTTACACATAATAAAAAAATGTTAGCATGTGCTAAAAGCACACAGAAATACGTTTTTAAAGCAATGAAAATATAAAATATGGAAAATACTTTTTTTTCCTAATACATATCCATCCAAACACTGTTTTAAACGACAAAAACTTCATATGACCCTATATATAAGATATATATATATATAGATAAAAGAAGAAAGCGAAGTAGGTACTCAGTACAAATTTTTTGAGTATACAAAGTCAAAAACAAACTACATTTTTATGGGTAATAAATGAAAATACTCGCCCTATATTTTCTGTTATACAAATAAAATAAGTATACATGTTAAATATATATAGAATATAGTTTATTATACTATAACCATAGAGAATAAGAATCGTTATATCTATTACAGATAACTGCATTAAAATACATCTTATAATTTAAAAGATTTAATCGAACAGATAGCGACTGCAATGTAGTTTTAAGGCGAGACGCCGTGCCGTGATATACTATGTAGGTACTTATGTATTATGTATTTCAAAATCAGGCACTGCGCTTCGTACACCTCATGCACGATTAGCGTTGCAATGATATATCGGGAACCCGATAAATATCGATATATCGACGCCCGAAAATATTGATATATACTGATATCGGCACAGAGTCGATATCAATATAAATATAAATATCGATATGAACTCAATATATCGTTTTTTTTTTGTGGTATCAACCGCCCCGACTTAAGCTGTTTTATCTGTGTCTGGTTCTTCTATATTACTCTTTGGGGTTCTTACTGTCATAGCGACTGTACACTTCTCCCTTCCCGGGAGCTCTCGGGCGAGATAAAGATCTTTCTTTTTAAGAAAGAAAAAAAAAGTGATGTCGACGACAAACTTATATTATATCTTCCAGCTCCTGTAAATACCTTAAGGGCAAACGTTCTTGAAAATGGCAAGAGTTGCAATGTGTATATCCTATCTTTATAATAAAGTGTTACTGAGTCATCTGCCTATTGTTGCAACCAGTGTTCTTTCAGACTGTTTGTTTTTAAAGGCAAGGAGCAAGTATTACCCAGAGCAGAAATAGATTTCAAGAGAGTAGGCTCCCGAAATTGTTATTTTTAAGTTCCATAGTAGGAATAAAATAATGGAATAATATTTTTCTACGAAACTCTTAAATAAATGTAGGTATAAAAAAATATGTTTGGCATTTATTTAACATTTATATAGGCCTTTAGTTCCTCTTCTTAACAGCTTTTGATATTAATCCTACCAATATTATGATTTTGAAAGTGTGGATGTTGTTACTCAATCAAGCAAAATCGACTAAACGAATTTAGATGAGATTTGGCATGCATGTAGCCTTTGACATGAAAAAGAATAGAAGCTAACTTTTTATCTCTACATATAAAAAAATATCGATATATCGGCCTATTACACCGATATATCAATATCGACTTTGTTCGATATATGTATATATCGATATTTTTCAAAATCTTGCATCCCTAACCCCGATAGTTTTACGTGTTGCTGTTCGACCGCGACCGCTATGCACCAGCGCTCGCTAGCTCTTCCTCTACCACGTTACGTGCGGAACGACTCTTTCTCGCGATGTAACGTGGTAAAGGCCAACGACGCTTCAGTACCAAATTGAACATAACAATTACAAAATCTTCCTGTTTTTTTTGTAATTATATTTGTATAATTCATATTTATGTAGGCACTGTTATTTTAGAATTTACAATACAGTGGAAAATACTACAATACGAATTGCAATCTACATATATTTTGATATACTTATTAACACACAATAATTCATTAATAAGATTTTTAAAGTAAAGAATTAAATAGAAATATTGGGCTAAAGTTACATATTCTCTTGATTCAACATAAACTAGTGCGTACATTGCGTCTTTGAATTAAACAACAAAAACAATCTTTGTGGTTCCGTATATAATGTTATAGGTAATTACGATATTTATTTAGTTGCATTACGATATATATTTTATGTAAACAAATACGCTACTAGGTACCTACTTAAACCTCTTATATGTATAAATAAGCTATGCCTGTGCCTCCTGGCATAGGCATTTTTAAAAGCCGGCTTTACAAACACTTTGTATTAGTAAAAATGTTACCCAAAAAAATTATTTTAAAATATGAAGTTTATGCGGTCCCCTAGAAACTAATTCTTAATTCCTGATGCCTGATGAATACGCTGCTCCGATATGGCTTTCTTTTATTCTTTAGTATTTAAGTAAGAAAGTCTCACGATAGGTAATTTGTATACTAAGTTGTAAGGTTATATTATCATCTTACCTTAAACAAGTTATAATAAATCCAAATCTTGTAAGTTATGTCTTGAATCACAAAAGTTTATTTCCAAAACATTGGAATAATCTCACAAAAGACACTATGCAAACACACAAAAAGTCACAAAGTATTCAAGTACTGTTAATATAACCGGTTTACAAATCAAACTGCGTAGAAAACGTTCGCGTTTAAGAATAAGAACCGAGCAGTACAGCACTACGATAAGACTACCTGTAGCCATGAACAGTGTTGCCAACACGACTAATATAAAATGTGCTAAACTGCTGTCAAAATTTTGCGAATGCTAATTAAATAAAGGCTAAAAAAAATGCTAACATTTTTCAATGTCAAATAAAACGTCATTTAATATATTTTTTTTTAATAATCAACATAATTTATATTTATCTTGTATTTTAGTTAATTGTTATCGAACAAAATAGAAATCCTGGCCTTCATCGACAGATTGTTAACAATGACAAGGGCAATTCTGACAAGTCTTTTCCCTTCATATCAACTTGCAAGGATCTCAGAGATAAACTTTTGTCAGTGTGATTTTATTCGGATTTTTTATTTTATGATAATTTTTTTTTTAATAATTACTGTTATATAAAATATCGACTAATATATAAACAACAAATATGTTAAACAACGTAAAAACACGACGAATGTAGCATAACATATGCTAAATTAGCAATACTAGACATAAACTACATAGCAGAGCAGGCCCAGTGTCGCCATATGACTATCGTGGATTCGCCCAAACAAACCCAAAAAACAGGGTTTAAAAATCTATCAATGAAGAAACTAGATATTAGTAACTATTTACAAATACATTAATGTTTGTCTTACATTTTATAACTCGCCACTTTTGTATTCTTGTCGTTGTTAGTTGTGTTTTATGCGTTGTCGGGTTTTTATAACTGCCCGCAGAGTTGTGGATTTCTTTTGGTATCCATTAAAAGTATCAAAATACCTGACTTATATTATCTGTATCCCACTATTCCCCTGCAACAATTTTTCTCCTAATTTTACCCTACAATGTTTTCCAAATTTAGGGGAAAAGCCCCAATCTTGCATCACTGGGCGTGTACGCAGTATTACCAGAACTTACGTATTACATACTTCCTTTTCCACCAACTTCCCTCAACCTCCCCAATAACAAAATATTCGTATTAATTAATTCTGTAACTAGTTTACAATGTTAAGAATGAATTAATGGGTACCAATAAGCAAGTATGGAATACAAACCTCTAACAGTAAAATTGGCATTTGGAAGTATGATTATTTTTTGGTGTTAATTAACTACGAGGCCTCGTGCTTTATTTTAATAATTCGCGTTTGTTGTAAAATGTAATGTCATTGTTGAAAGATGATTTGAACAAAGCCTACCTGAGTTGGTAGTCATTAAGATAGATCTTCATATACGCTAATTTTACTTATCTTTTTAATTTGATTAATTAATTAATTAATTTTTTAAAACTGCAGAATTGAGAACCATGATTGATATTGGTAATAAAAATAATAAGAATCTCGTCAATTTTAATTTACCCACCTAAATTCCTTAAATATATTTTCCCTCAAATTCTTTCAGTTCGGGTTTTCCGCAAGCACTTATGAAGTTGATCATTTGCTTCTTATACGAGCATCCTGTCAGGTGGACCCCCCCCTAGATCTTTCTTCCCCTATAGTATAGGACGAATTTATGTAGCCGGCTACGGGCGATTATTTTATATAAACATTTTTATCTTTACTCGCCGTGTAGGCTCTGGCCCTCGCATTTTGTGGGTTGCCAGATGTTGGAATTGTCTGCTTAATAAGACAATTTTAAATTAACAAAAGGCCTTTTGTATTTTCTCCCTTGAATACGATTGTTGAAAAATGATCATTAACGGTAGTCGACAATACCCACGCAGACGACATTTTACATGGGTTATGTGCGTGACCTACGTGATACTATGTAACCTTGAATCATATTCGCTTAGTAAACCGTCTGTTACTGTAAAATTCGCAATATTTCTAGGTATTATACAGAACGGAATTCTCTCCAATCCAACTTACGTGTCATCTTTTACCAGTTTACTAAAAAAAACCATTCGGTCGGGAATCAATAAAATCTTTGAAGGCGCTTTTGACTGCCCCATCGTAGTTGAATTTTTTCCCTTCCAAGAAGTTATCCAATTTTCGAAAATGGTTGTTGGAACAAGATCCGGGGAGTACGGTGAATGTCTTAGACATTCCAATTGAAGCTCTTTTTATTTGGTTACTGTTTGTTGTGCAGTGTGTGGTCTAGCGTTGTCCTGAAGCAGCAGTGACCTACGGCGATTGACCAGCCTCGGTTGTTTAGTAGCTAGCTTTTCCATCTTGGAATCACATGCAGTAATCGTCTGGCTAGATTTAAGAAAGCTGAAGTGAACAATACCGGCACTAGTCCACCAAATGCTCACAAGTAACTTTTTTTTAGTAAATTTTCGCTTGGGGTAGGATTTGGCTGGTTCGCCAGGGTTCAGCCATTGCGATGAGCATTTCCGATTATCGTACAAGATCCGCTTTTCATCACAGGTAATGATTCGAATTAAAATCCCTTCATTATTATGCCAGTTGACTAATGTAACGCAGCAGTCTACGCGCGTTTGTTGATTTGCTCCATTCAATTCACCTTATCAATTTGCTTCAAGTAGATTAAACAGTTTTGTCACTAACACCGCAGCCTGCAGCTAACTCAGCGATGGATCCGATTCCACAATAGCCTTCAATTCTTCATTATCAACCTGGGACTCCGGCCGTCTACGGGGTTTGTTTTGCAGGTTGAAATTTCTAGAACGAAAACGTTGGGACCAAAACCGCACTGTGTTTTCTTTTGCGACACCACCGCCATACACATCATTAATCCTTCGAGCCATTTTTGCAACACTGCCACGGAGGAACTCGTACTCGTAGATAACACGATATTTTATGTTTTCCATTTCGTAAACTGAGTGACGCAAAGAAAAAACCAAAGATGGAAAAAACCTATGAAATACGGTTTTCACAGGCTTCACAGGCTTCGGTAACTTTTTATCATTCGATGGGCCGATAGTTTAGTTGCCACTATTGTAGTATAAAAAAATGGCAATAAGTTGACAAAGTTTTCACTCAGTGGGCAGTTAACGGTAGAGTAGCGCATAAAATACCAATACAAACAAAAATGTTGCTTCTAAGGTGATAATAATAACAATTTATGCTGGTACGATCTTGTGAGGTGTCACTTCATAGAAGGGTTGTACCTCTCTTCCTTCCTTTGTTCATCCCATCCCGTGCCCATCATCCTGTACTGAAGCAGATCTAAACAATGCGATCCAATGTGTTAAAAACGTCGCTAACTCTGGAATAGTACTTTACTATATTTAGGTATTTTTAGTTTGCCATTACTAGAAAGAAGAAGAATCTATATAACAATAATATCGTACCTAATCTTATGAGTTTATTATTACGTGTAATCACGAGTACAGTTGGATAAAAATGCAATTTGTGTAGGTTAATGAAATCGGGTTACACTCTGGTGTCATTTTGTCAGCAAATTATGTACTATGTAAGCTAACTTTTATGTTGAAATCATTATTATGTATCAATTTGGTGTAATATGTCAGTACATGGTTTATTCTAATTAATATTGCAATTCTTAGCAATTGTGGTTAGCATTAAAATATACATGAGTATTATAAACATAAAGTTATTTATCTTACCTAGCATATGCTTGCATAAGTTTGGTTTTCTATGATGTTGGAAGGTCTATTTAGTAAGTAGTTTCATATGAAGGTTTCGGTGGTCTAGTAGTGTAGCATACCGCTTTACTTCTGGTGGTATCGGGTTCGATTCCTCGCATGGTATAAACAGTTGTATTCATGATTGTGTTTACAACAATGTATTTTAATATTTATATCAGTTGTCAAGTACCCATAACATAACACAAGCTCTGCTCAACTTGGGACTAGATGGCGCTCTATCACCATCACTAGATGGTGAATTGTTCTGGGTTATTATTGTTATTACTTCAGTTTCAAGTTACCTTATACATGTTTTATCATTTTAAACCGATTTATAAAACAGGAGGACGTTGTATTTTCCAAGGATTGTGTGGGTTTTGTATGTATCTTAGCAATGTAAGCTGATTTTAATGATTATGTTGGGACTGTATGACCCCTTTAGTGTTCAGTTGCTTAGGATCTTTAACAACACAAATCAAAAGACGAGATTGTAAACATATTTTAATTGCATTTAATCATTCTGGCTTTTCAGTGACAATGACAACATGTAATAGAAATATAAATAATCTTTATTCAAATAAATTGAATGCAAGCACTTTTCAATACTCATATTTTTAATATAGAAATAATTTATGCAAGTATATCTATACATATAAATAAAATTGGAGTGTCTGTTGGTATTGAATTTTTACTACATGCATATGAATATAAATACGGTACATACACCAAAATATTTTTTTTTAGAATTTTTGGACATCTGTCTAACTGTCTGTTTGTTCCGGCTAATCTCTGAAATAACTGGATCGATTTCGACGGGTTTTTTTGGCAGGTAGCTGATGGAATAACTTAGAAAAACTAGTTTTGTTTTTAAAAAAATCTCTAATAAACTTTGTTGTTAAATTCCACGCGGATCAAGTCTATAATAATATAAAAAATGTCCTATACTAATTTTCAATTCTATTTGCTTATATAATTTAATGTCATTTATAAATGCGTCACAATATGTACAACAAAAACGTTTTTTTTTAAACAAAGTGTTTTTTATTATATTTTTAAGTAAACCAATAATATCAACAATAGGTAGGATATATCAGGAATTAATAAGCAGAATTTGAGTATGTATGTAGTGAGCTATTTGTAATGTAGTGGTATACTACTTGGTTTTTGATTGCTTTCCAATTTTGTTCAATCTCTATATATAAAAATGGACTCCTAATCTACTGAACCCATTGCAAATTTGATTTGCACATTGTATGCAATTTGATCCAACTTGAAAGTTAGGAAAGCTTACATCACAATTTATAGTCGCAATATTATTTCACCTTAGCCACAGCAATGCGTGGCCATGTTTGCTAGTTGTAAATATACCTAATTAAGCGCATCATTCCAACAAGTCGCATCCTTCAGGATCCTATCGATCTAATTTGATGGAGGGCCTGTATAATTTTCGTACAGATGGCATGATCATTTGAGAATATTAGTGGCATATAAAGAATAGGCTACATATCAATAGAAATATAACACCCCCTTTAGGAACACCAGCTTCTATCAACTGATAGCTAGGTCAATAAGTACAGCCTGTCGCCGACCTCAATTGCATGAATTAAACTTATTAGGGTAGTATAGAGGATAACCAAGGCAATTTTCCAGTTGTTTTAAAATTATGCCAGTCGTAAAGGAACCTGACCATAATTAATATTATGAGACCTAATAAAACTAAGTTAGCTATATTGATTGGACTTATCGGCATCTCTACATCGTCATTGCAAACACGACCGAGGGGCATGGTGCTAATCTGAAAAAAAAGGAGAATTTATAGCGGTCAAATAGAAATGGCATTACTTGAGATGGACCATGGACGTCAGATTAATATTATTCGAGGTGCTATCTATGTCTAATAGTTGACAGTTACCACTACCAATCAGGTGGGCTGTCAATCTGTTCGCATTTACAGTTAGATAAAAATAAAACAATCTGTTACATACTGCCATATTAAATTATTAAGCTACTTCTTATTGTGTCCTCACATATTTGTGTCCTCCCTTAGAACCTAAGGGCTAAGGTTTCGATAACAGCGATTTTTAGCGAGATATAGTTGCGCTGCTATTGTAGCAGATAAAGAGGCATACTCATTTTGCACGCACCAAAGTTGGTAAATTGAAAATACTTTCCGTTAGTCGCTGAAAGAGTCTTTGCTTTTCGATATTTGTTTATATATATATATCTATATATAAAATACAGTGTTTTATTTATTACTTAGTAGAACATAAAATTTATACATAATTACCTGCATTAACGATGTTGTTTTGTCATTGGATTTCGAACATCTTATGTCGGGCAGATCGCGAATGACTCTCTTGTACTTGAGGAGTAAACTTTGAAATCGAGGTATAAAATGGCAGTCGCATCTCCACGGATTGCGGCCCAGGAATACGTGCATTATATTATTATTTGCTTGAAACGCTTTGTCAAAAGCATATACAGGGATCTGTAGAAAAAAATAATAAATGTAAGAAATATTTATTATAAGAATTTGTTTTTAAAGTGTTATAGTTATTTAAGAGTCGAAATTATCTTATTAACTTTGGGAATACTTTGATCCTCTCTCATTGACCCAGACAAGTGGGTACATATATGAACCGATAAATCCTAATCCGATGATATTTTTATAGACCAGGACTACTATTGATGAATTAGAAATCCACGTATTGATAGGCAGTACAAAAATTAAATAAAAGTTGAAATTGTAATCAATGTAAAATAGAATTACAATTGTGATAAAACGAGTATGAAAATTCGACGAGACTAACATTCCATGGTCGATTAAAAAAATCATAACCGTTCGATTTGAAAGTTATCAAGATGCATACGTGGAGACACATTCATAGAAAATAAACTCAAACTTTTTGTTTGTTTTTTATACAATTCGACCCAAGTATCCAGGTTATGGTTTTGTATTATACTCGTGATATGGACATACTAAAGAAGAGTTTTTATGAGTGACGACCCTTTTTTTCAAATATTCTAATACTGTAGCCGTAGCTGGCCTTATCATTTTCATCGGATTCGAACATTGGCCTCCAAGCCCGCGGAAGGACTTATGGAGCGCCTGACTGGCGAACACAAAAAGCGGTGTAGTTGGTATCGTCTTTTTCGACCTATGGAAAATGGTAGAACTAAAGCATATCATAAATGGTTTTTACGAATATCATAATCTGGGTGATATTTTGATTTAAATAGATACTCAAATAGTGAAGTTATAATATTCAGTAAGACTTTGTTACCTAATACGCAACATAGTTCTAATTTTTATAGTCAGTAGTACATTGAAGATAGAGGAGCTATACTCAAGACTTTGGGTGTTCATGTTTCAAAACAATATTGTGAAAAAATATTAAGCAGCAGTGCAGTGGGTTACATTTTTAGGAAGGTAATTTTATGTACTTTACAAAACAGCTTTTTAATTTTCTTTTATTTGAGAAAAATAGACTATTACCCAATTTTTCACAAAAAAATACTGAAAGTTATGACTGTAACCCATGTCTCCCTATCCGCTACTTCTTGTATTAGTTCATAGTCTAACTATTTATTTGCACGATACTAAAAAAAATCAGCTGCGGATATTTGCGGATTTAGAAGATGAGAACAAATTGATAAAAGTTGGCGTAGGAAAATTCGTAAAAATTCGTTGGTGTAGGAAAATATATAAAAGTTGCTTTTGATATTTTAACCGGATTTGAGTATAAAGTTGGGATAAGATCATTAGGAAAGTCAAATTAGAAATAGTAACGATCTCGAACTTAATATAAAAGGAAGAATACTAAATCTAAGAAGAAACATAGGTATCGTAAAAAAACGATAGACGGATAGATAAAAAAGTAAGAGATGCAAAGATGAGGATTCAATAATATGAAGAGCAAGAATGATATCGATAGGAAGTAATAAAATTGTCGCCTAAGATTTCCTGCCGCTAATGTGATGGTGAATCACAAATCATCTCCATTTTTCTTACGAGATAGCAGGAATTTTTTGAAAGAAAGAAAGAAAGAAAAATATTTTATTCAGTGCAATGTAAAAAATACAATATAAACAACAAACTATCAACTTTTGATAGGTAACGTTGAGTATATTTGGTACATTTTAAGTTCAATCAGTTACATTTACATCTGTATTATTATTATTATATATTTATATCTTTTAATTATTAATGTTTCTAAGGACTGTATATATTTTATATTATATTTTTAGTTACAAGAGAAACTACGGTCGCTGATGGTAAAAGACATATATTTCAAAGTGACAATAAAAATCGAACGAAACATAAAATATTTAAATATATATATAAAAAAATATAATTATCATATAAAAAGGTGCGTTATGCACATGCTCCCTCCCTTAACAAATAGGGATGATTTTCTTAATCGGTCTACGTAGCACACCTGCCTGAGTACTAACGTCTACGACCCGTGTCACGCCATCCTTACCCGGATACATAGCTGTAATTCGGCCTTTAGGCCAAGTACCTCTAGGTAGTGTGCCGTCAACGACTATAACGATATCTCCAATTGAAACTTGTGGCACTTTACCTACGAATTTTCTTGGTGATAATGTAGGTAGGTACTCGGTTATCCACCTTTTCCAAAAATGATCCGCCATACGTAGTGCTCTCCTCCAGCCTGCTCTACTACATATATCGCTGTCCGTTAAATTGGCTGGGATGGGACGTCCTGAAGAGTAACCAAGCAGAAAGTGTGATGGTGTTAGTGCCTCTGGATATTGGGGGTCGCAAGCCACGTGTGTTAGGGGGCGTGAGTTTACCAGTGCTTCTGCTTCACAAAGTAATGTGGAGAATACTTCATCAGTAGGTGATCTAATATTGTTGCCCAGAGTTACTTTTAAGGCTGTCTTTACGGACCTCACGAGTCTCTCCCAAGACCCTCCCATGAATGGAGCAGATGGAGGTATGAATTTCCACTTAATCATTTCTCCAGCCGCAAAATTGGAAGTTACTTCTGAATACAAGGCTCTCAGCTCCCTGTTTACTCCCACAAAGCTAGTTCCATTATCAGAATGGATTTCCGAAGGTGTTCCACGGCGAGCTATGAAGCGTCGTAATGCCATTATAGCAGCATCTGATGAAAGTGAGTGGACGATCTCAAGATGGATTGCTCGAACTGACAAGCATGTGAATAGAGCCACATAACGTTTCTCTCTTCTACGCCCAACTGCTACTGTTACGGGCCCAAAATAATCTAGACCTACAAATGAGAAAGGTCTGCAGTGGTGAGCGAGTCTGGCTGTTGGAAGATTACCCATAGTCGGTTGATATGTCACAGAACGGCGAACTTTACAAAATTGACAATTGAAGGCTACTGATCTAACTGTGCTTCTAAGATTTAAAATCCAGTAACGTTGTCGTAGCTCGTTGACAACCATTTCTGTGTTGGCGTGGGCTGCCTTGCGGTGATAATGTAGCACGAGTAGCCGGACAGTAGGGTGTTTTCCATCAAGCAATATCGGAGATTTCATATCTTCATTTATGTCGGAAGCTGCTACGATACGAGTGGATAGTCGTAATATGTTGTTTTTATCAATAACAGCTGGTAATTTTGATAATCTGCTACGGTGTGACACAGGTATACCGATTGTAATAGATTTTATTTCTTGTGAGAACGAGTCTAATTGGCTTCTACGTAACACGTGATTTTCTGCTAAAAGTAAATCGTCCGAGTTTAGTGTGCTACGTATATTATTACATTGCTGATTAATGTTTGGATTGAATGGTGAATGAAAAGTGAAAATGTGGCCTTCTACTTTATGAATGAGTTCTATATTAAGGCCTTTTTTTCTTAATGAGACCAAACGTAACAATGATAAGTAACGGTGAGCATAGCCTGTTGTACGAACTAATCGAATCCATGAACTAAAACGTCGCGCGTCAGCTGAAATCGGACTATGCAACACCACCGTTTCATTAATGAGATGAGTATGAGTTTCGAGTTGAGGAGCGATATCAATAGGGTGAGCATGAGTAACACTAGGTTCTTTTGGCCAATCGGAAGTAAGAAGAAAGTTAGGTCCCTTTATCCAACGCGAGTCTGGAGTTAATGGACCTCGGTCCAAACGCGTCGTATCGTCAGCAACGTTAAGACTAGTAGGAACCCAACGCCACTCACTGACATCCGTGAGTTCAATTATCTCACCTACTCTATGAGCTACAAATGTTTTGTATGATCGTGAATCATTGCGAAGCCAACCCAAAACATTCATTGAATCGCACCAAAATGTGCGTTTTATAGGTTTAAATTTTACTGCTTCTACAATGGTCGTAGCTAAACGTGCGGCTATTAATGCAGCTTGTAATTCTAATCTAGGAATACTAGATGGTTTCAAAGGAGCTACACGTGACTTGCTACAGACCAAAGCGAGTTGTACGTCTCCGTTAGAGTATGTAAAGCGCCAATATGCTACTGCTCCGTAAGCTTGGGCACTGGCGTCGGCAAAGACGTGTAACTCGGTTTGACTTGGTTGCAAAAAATGATGATTATAACAACGCGGAATTTTTATCTTGGCGGTAGTAATTAAATCCTGAAACCAATTATTCCATGCAATGGTTTCAGAGTTAGGGAGCTCGATATCCCAGTCTAAATTCATTCGCCAAGCATTTTGGAGTAAAATACGACCGCGAATAACGATAGGCGCGAGGATTCCTAACGGGTCGAAAACTCGCATGATTAAAGATAATATTACACGCTTGGTAAGCGGATTGGGCAAGGTCTCTTGGCCTTGTTTAATTGGGGTATTAAAACCTATGAGATCTCTAGAAGGGCGCCAGTATAATCCTAATGCACGGACGCATGGTGACAGGGACGGAAGATTTGCTAGATCGATGTTAATGTCAGATACTGATTCCGATAAAAGATGTTTTGGTAATAAACGAAGTGCATTCGGGTCATTCGATACCCATCCGCGCATTTCAAGTCCTGCACGAGCATGGACATGGACAATATCGGCAGCTAACTGAGCAGCTCTATCACTGGAATCTACCGAACCTATATAGTCATCCATATAAGTGTCATATATAATGCCATGCACTGCTTCGGGATATTGATCTTTAACTTCTAAAGCGTTTTTATTTTTCATATATATAGCCGTAAAGGGACTCGACACTGCACCAAAAATCATAGAGGACATCCTGTAGGTAGTTATGGGTACATTAGGGTTATCACGCCACAAAAACCGTTGCGCATCTCTGTCTTGTTTAATAATTTTAAATCTAGGAAACATTTCTTTAATGTCAGCTGTCATCGCTACCTTTCCTTCTCTAAATCGAAGCAAAATATCGAATAATGATTGTAATAAATCTGGCCCTGTAAGTAAAAGTGAATTTAAACTAACCCCTTTAATTTTAGCGGCAGCATCATGGACTACACGCAGTTTTGCCGGTTTGTTAGGATTCACTACGCCAAAATGAGGTAAAAACCAACATACGGAATTCGAAGACGGCTCATTCTGACATATTTCAGCGTAATCTTTACTAACGAGGTCGTGAATATTTTGTCTATAACGCTCAGCGTAGCCTGGGTCACTAATCATTTTCTTCTCCAAACTTAAAAAACGAGATAAAGCAAGAGAATAACTATTTGGTATAATAGGGTTGTCAGGTTTCCATAATAAACCTACTTCAAACCTACCACATGGAAGGCGGTTGGCAGTGCGCTCTAAAATTTCGATAGCGCACGCATCTGCTGTACTGCGTGGTTCTTTTTTACTAATACCTATTGAATCTAACCTATAATAATTCTTAATAAGGTTTTCTAATGAACTATTGTCAGTAGATGGAAAGTCAGACTCGTCAAATAGAACATGATTCACTATGTCGACCGGACTAGTCCTACTACTGCGAAAACCGAACAATACCCAACCTAAAGCAGTTCTAATTGCAGCTGGCTGCGACTTTGTACCATTCCGTACGCATTGAGGAATAGTGAGATGCCAGTTGTCAATACCGATCACAATCTTTGGTTGTGCATCATCGTAACATAAAAATGGTACTAAGTCAGAAAGATAAGAAAATTCATTAATATTTTTAGGATAAATTGATTGTCTAGCTAACTGTAAATCTTTAATAGAACGGGCCTGTCTAACCTGATGTATTTCATCCGTGTGACAACCCTTAATGTTGAAATTGACATATTCTATTTTTGTATATTTTGACAACCCCCCAACGCATTTTAAGTGAGTTTGTACACATGGACCCCGTGCTCCAATTTGAGCTGCGAGTTCCGAATCTATAAAAGTAGATGTAGACCCGTCGTCCAATAAAGCATGAGTATTGATACTACCACGTGGACCAGAGATCGTAACAGCTATTATTTTTAAGAAAGGTCGATAATTCGGATGTTTATTATTATTACATGGTGAAAACGAACTACGAGCGTGAGCAACGAAATCAGTCGTCTCTTTGCTCGAGGATTCATCAGAACTCTCAAGTTCCCCAGAGTGAGGAGTGGAAGACGATTCACTTTGTTCATCCTCATTTTCAACCACATAGGCAATATGTAATAATTTATGATGTCTAGAATTACATTTTTCATTGGTACAAATCTCTTTAGAAATATCACAGTTTTTATAATTGTGCAAACCTTTTTTGAGACATTTGTGACAAAGTTTTTTCCCTTTTACAAATTTCCACCTGTCATCAACTGACAATGTCTTAAAATCACAACAATGAGACAAACTATGTTCGTTATTACAAAATAAGCATATCTTTTTATTCTTGGATATGGGATTTGATGATTTTTCATGATTTTCAGACTGATAAATATACGGGGCCATGGACGTAGATGGTTTGTATGTGTTAACTGTGTGGGCTTTGTCGGCTTTTTTAGGGTAATTAATAGGCTCATTGAGAAGACCGAACTTGAGTTGTAGGTCCACCTCTTGTGCAAGGAAGGAGGCTAGCAGCTCAAGTTTAGTAGTCCTCTGGGTGAAATGAGTAGCTGCGTAGTCAGTCCATCGTGTTCGTAATAGAGGAGTAAGTTTACTAAGTACCGATTGAAAGAGCTCTGGTGATTCCAAGTAGGGCCTTTGTTCTAGAAGTCTCATTACCTCCACTGAATTACGGACGCGGCAAGAGAATTTATGAAGATCACTAGAATCGGTGTTGACCTTTGGTAACGAACGGATTGACGCAACTTCTTGTAGGACTATTAATTCAGGTCTGCCAAATCTTAATGCTAAAGCCTGTATTACCTCGATAGGGTCTCGCGCAGAGACTAGCAGCACCGCCACAGAATCTTGTGCCGCTCCTCGCAGCGCCATACCAATCCGAGTCAAGTTGTCCGAAGCCGAGTATGCTGCTTGTGTATTGTCATATACACGCTTGAAGGTCAACCAGTCCAAAGGCTTCCCGTCAAAGACCGGAAGACGCCCGTCTCCAAACGTCTTGTGCTTATTATTATTTGATAATGAGGTGATGGCCTGTGCTAATAAGGTTATGTCACTAGGCGATTTTTCAATTGAAGAAATGGGTTTAATTGTAGTTGAACTACAAATCGGCCTCATGTGCATAACGCACCTTTTTATATGATAATTATATTTTTTTATATATATATTTAAATATTTTATGTTTCGTTCGATTTTTATTGTCAATTTGAAATATATGTCTTTTACCATCAGCGACCGTAGTTTCTCTTGTAACTAAAAATATAATATAAAATATATACAGTCCTTAGAAACATTAATAATTAAAATATTGGTCCTTCGAGCCGGATACATAGGATTCACTATGCCAAAATGAGGTAAAAACCAACATACGGAATTCGAAGATGGCTCATTCTGACATATTTCAGCGTAATCTTTACTAACGAGGTCGTGAATATTTTGTCTATAACGCTCAGCGTAGCCTGGGTCACTAATCATTTTCTTCTCCAAATATTTTAATTATTAATGTTTCTAAGGACTGTATATATTTTATATTATATTTTTAGTTACAAGAGAAACTACGGTCGCTGATGGTAAAAGACATATATTTCAAAGTGACAATAAAAATCGAACGAAACATAAAATATTTAAATATATATATAAAAAAATATAATTATCATATAAAAAGGTGCGTTATGCACATGCTCCCTCCCTTAACAAATAGGGATGATTTTCTTAATTGGTCTACGTAGCACACCTGCCTGAGTACTAACGTCTACGACCCGTGTCACGCCATCCTTACCCGGATACATAGCTGTAATTCGGCCTTTAGGCCAAGTACCTCTAGGTAGTGTGCCGTCAACGACTATAACGATATCTCCAATTGAAACTTGTGGCACTTTACCTACGAATTTTCTTGGTGATAATGTAGGTAGGTACTCGGTTATCCACCTTTTCCAAAAATGATCCGCCATACGTAGTGCTCTCCTCCAGCCTGCTCTACTACATATATCGCTGTCCGTTAAATTGGCTGGGATGGGACGTCCTGAAGAGTAACCAAGCAGAAAGTGTGATGGTGTTAGTGCCTCTGGATATTGGGGATCGCAAGCCACGTGTGTTAGGGGGCGTGAGTTTACCAGTGCTTCTGCTTCACAAAGTAATGTGGAGAATACTTCATCAGTAGGTGATCTAATATTGTTGCCCAGGGTTACTTTTAAGGCTGTCTTTACGGACCTCACGAGTCTCTCCCAAGACCCTCCCATGAATGGAGCAGATGGAGGTATGAATTTCCACTTAATCATTTCTCCAGCCGCAAAATTGGAAGTTACTTCTGAATACAAGGCTCTCAGCTCCCTGTTTGCTCCCACAAAGCTAGTTCCATTATCAGAATGGATTTCCGAAGGTGTTCCACGGCGAGCTATGAAGCGTCGTAATGCCATTATAGCAGCATCTGATGAAAGTGAGTGGACGATCTCAAGATGGATTGCTCGAACTGACAAGCATGTGAATAGAGCCACATAACGTTTCTCTCTTCTACGCCCAACTGCTACTGTTACGGGCCCAAAATAATCTAGACCTACAAATGAGAAAGGTCTGCAGTGGTGAGCGAGTCTGGCTGTTGGAAGATTACCCATAGTCGGTTGATATGTCACAGAACGGCGAACTTTACAAAATTGACAATTGAAGGCTACTGATCTAACTGTGCTTCTAAGATTTAAAATCCAGTAACGTTGTCGTAGCTCGTTGACAACCATTTCTGTGTTGGCGTGGGCTGCCTTGCGGTGATAATGTAGCACGAGTAGCCGGACAGTAGGGTGTTTTCCATCAAGCAATATCGGAGATTTCATATCTTCATTTATGTCGGAAGCTGCTACGATACGAGTGGATAGTCGTAATATGTTGTTTTTATCAATAACAGCTGGTAATTTTGATAATCTGCTACGGTGTGACACAGGTATACCGATTGTAATAGATTTTATTTCTTGTGAGAACGAGTCTAATTGGCTTCTACGTAACACGTGATTTTCTGCTAAAAGTAAATCGTCCGAGTTTAGTGTGCTACGTATATTATTACATTGCTGATTAATGTTTGGATTGAATGGTGAATGAAAAGTGAAAATGTGGCCTTCTACTTTATGAATGAGTTCTATATTAAGGCCTTTTTTTCTTAATGAGACCAAACGTAACAATGATAAGTAACGGTGAGCATAGCCTGTTGTACGAACTAATCGAATCCATGAACTAAAACGTCGCGCGTCAGCTGAAATCGGACTATGCAACACCACCGTTTCATTAATGAGATGAATATGAGTTTCGAGTTGAGGAGCGATATCAATAGGGTGAGCATGAGTAACACTAGGTTCTTTTGGCCAATCGGAAGTAAGAAGAAAGTTAGGTCCCTTTATCCAACGCGAGTCTGGAGTTAATGGACCTCGGTCCAAACGCGTCGTATCGTCAGCAACGTTAAGACTAGTAGGAACCCAACGCCACTCACTAACATCCGTGAGTTCAATTATCTCACCTACTCTATGAGCTACGAATGTTTTGTATGATCGTGAATCATTGCGAAGCCAACCCAATATTATATATATATACAGTCCTTAGAAACATTAATAATAATATTTTAATTATTAATGTTTCTAAGGACTGTATATATTTTATATTATATTTTTAGTTACAAGAGAAACTACGGTCGCTGATGGTAAAAGACATATATTTCAAAGTGACAATAAAAATCGAACGAAACATAAAATATTTAAATATATATATAAAAAAATATAATTATCATATAAAAAGGTGCGTTATGCACAATATCTGTATTATAAACATGTAAAACATTTATTTGAAAAGAATACGAACTGAGTTTCTTTCGAGATCAGAAGAACTGACAAGAGTCAGTTCTTCTGATCTCGAAATCATTCCGACCTGACGGTAGATTTGACATATCATAAGGTTCTGTAATAGACCTACATGAATAAAGATATTTTGAGTTTAAATTTTAATTTGAATGTTACATATTGATACGCACCTGTTTTAACATGTTCCCACGGAGGCTGAGTACACGAAATGTCATGAACCACTCCGATCCCTCAAGTTCTTTCACCGCTGATATGCTATTATTATCCAGGTACAGATCAGCTAGTTTCTGGTATTCATGATTCTGAATTATACTTCTTATGGTGCTTATCTGTGAAATGCAATTTTAGAATATTAATATTAACATGATATTTGCATGAACCCTATTTCTGTTTATTTAAACATATTTATTATACATAGGTACTTAGTTAAGAAGCTATTGCAAAACTGAACTAAGTATTTGATTTTTTTGGTGCTATACCAGGGGCGGATCGGGAATTTATGGGGCCCTGGGCTAAATCTACTTAGGGGCCTACCTAATTATATTACTCAACTAAAAAAATAACCCGACCAAAAATAAGCGACCAGTAATTCCCTGTTCCTTTCGATAAACGAGCACTTGCATGGGTTGATTGATCTGAGGGTTGCAACCTTATGATAGGTTTTTTAACATTACAGATATTTTTTATATTCTAAATATCGTTTTAGTGTAAACTGGGGGCCCTTTGTATCCTCGGTTCTCCGGGAAGTTGGCAAGATCACGGAAGCTGGGAAGGGCCCTCGATTTGTAGGTTGCAGTTTAAAACCTGTTTGGCTGCTAATCACCTGCCAGAATGAGCCGACCAAAATATGGCTGGAGAGCATAACGCCCTCCCTAAAACCCTGGGCCGACGCAGAACTCTCTGTGTTGGACGAGAGAGCGATGCCCAAACCAGCCATTGGAACGGCCTTCATCCCCAGTTCGGAGACAAGGTCGGTCGATGAGGCACTCAGAATGCTGAAGTCCCAAAATAACTGCCTAAATTCCGAACTGTGGAAAATACTCAACCGTAAGGCTGAAGAGAACGGTACAGTCCTGACCGTATCTCTGGACGAGCCTTCGGTTGACTTCCTCAAAACACAGGACTATAAAGTCAACCTTGGCTTTAAAAAGGTCCTGTTCCGGGTCAAGGGGATCTCCACGCCTACACAGTAGCCTACTTCGGACGGTAATGGAAGATCTGCCACAGAAATACCCACACCATCCGAAGCGGCGAAGGGCGTAGACACCAACGCCAAACCCGCCAGAGGCAGCTTTCCCCAGCCAAAGGAGACCTCGCAGACGAGGATCCCCAGTTTCAAGACGGGACGGAAAGACCGCGGCAAGAGCGCCACAGCTTCCAATCGCAACTCAAAGGGACGCCCACGTCCCACAGGGAAGGCGAAAGGAAGCTGCTAACACGCCCACACGCAAGAAATGTATCAGAGCCAACATTGTCCAGGTCAACTTACATCATGCTATGGCAGCAACAGCGGTCATAGAAAACCTCTTCCGCAAAAACGACAAAAACGAGCCATGGCTCAACAAAGCCACGCCTTTAGGCCTCAATGCCTCAGGTAATATTCTTTTTAATACCACTGGCACTAAACCTAGAGCATGCATTCTTTTTAATAAGAAACTAGATTTTCTGACTGTTCCAGAACTATGTACAGATGACGAGGCTACAGATTGGCCTAAATACAGAGACAGTCTTACAAGCCTAATTGCGGATCTTCCGAAGAGTATCAAATCTCCTCTAGAACTAGAACTCGCTGTGGACATACTTCTAAATGGCATAATAAGTGCCTACCAGAACAACTGTCCCATCAAAATCAAAACCGCCAAATATAAAACACCCTGGTGGAATAAGAGTCTAGAAAAGCTGAGGAAGAAACCTCGCAAATTATCCAACAGGGCTAAAAAGGGACCTTTCGTATGGGCCCAATATAGTAAAGCCCAAACGGAATACTACTGCGAAATTAGGAAAGCCAAAAGAGCATCATGGCGTGCTTTCTGCGAGGAGATAACTCAGACTCCCCAAGGATCCAGATTACACAAAATGCTTGCCAAGGCGCCAAATAACCAAATTGGACTTATGAAAAGGCCCAATGGTACCTATACGACATCAGAGGAAGAAATTCTACAGCTGCTATCTACAACCCACATCCCTGGTTCGGTTCATATCTCAAGAGATAAGGAGAACCCTCCAAGCTCACAACTACAAAAGCCCAACCATGAGGCGTGGAACAGACCTGCAAGGATTTTTCGATCAAAACAAATTATATGGGCTATAAAATCTTTCAAGCCATATAAATCATCGGGAGAAGATGGAATTTTCCCGGCCCTGTTACAACAAGGGCTTGACATCCTATCTCCCTATCTGGTAAGAATATTTAGAGCCAGCTTTGCCTGGGGTTTTATACCAGAACCATTAACGAAGGTCAAAGTTACCTACGTACCGAAAACCGGTCGTAGAGACTACTCGCAGCCAAAGTCTCACAGGCCTATAAGCCTAACCTCTTTCATAATAAAAACCATGGAAAAGGTTCTGGACCAACACATTAGAGCTACAATCCGCGAAAATGCTCCCCTGCATAGGAATCACCATGCCTACCGCAAGGGACATTCCACAGAGACCGCCTTGCTCGAACTCACCGACAAGGTCGAGAAGGCCTTTGAGGACAAACAAATAGCTCTATGTGCATTTCTCGATATTGAGGGTGCTTTTGATAACACGCCCATAGAGACCATCTCACAGGGACTCATCCGCAAGAAAGTGGATGAAACCACCACTCAATGGATCAAAGCAATGCTCTCAAATCGAACCATTAAAACTACTCTTCATAACAGTACGTTAGAAATCCGACCTACCAAAGGATGCCCTCAAGGAGGCGTTTTATCGCCACTGCTGTGGCTACTAACGGTAGACCAGCTCTTAGATGTTATGACCAAAAACCAATTTGAGGTACAAGGCTACGCAGACGATTTAGTAGTCATGGTCAGAGGGTTCTGTGCAACAACAATATCAGACCGCATCCAAAGAGGACTAAACATCATAGTTAAATGGTGTAAGGAAAATGAATTATCAGTAAATCCTGATAAAACAGTAATTGTTCCGTTTACAAAAAGGAAGAAACTTGACAAACTTGTCATGCCTAAAGTAAATGGAAGAATATTAGAGTGCTCCAAAGAAGTCAAGTACCTGGGCGTAACCTTCGACCAAAAACTGACATGGAACACACACATAGATAACATAACTCAAAAGGCGAAAACATCCCTAGGAATAAGCCGACGGGTAGCGGGGCCCAGATGGGGAATCAACCCTAAAATTGCCCTATGGCTTTACACAGCAGTGGTGAGACCGCTTCCCACCTATGCCTGCGCAATCTGGTGGAGGAAAACCCTCCAATCCACAGCTGTCACCAAGCTAAACAGCCTACAGAGAATTGCAAGTCTGATTATTACAGGAGCCATGAGCACCACGCCGGGAGCAGCTCTAGACGCATTATTGGACTTGACGCCCCTTCCTTTATTTATACAGAAAAAGGCGAAAGCCAATATGCTCAGAATAAGTTCCCAAAGGAGGATATCTTGGCATTCCCTGGCCATAAAAACTATACAAGACTCGATTATGAATGATCCTATTCTGGGAATGCCTGAAGACAACATGGCACCAGAGTGTAACTTTGTACAATATTACAAAATCGAAATATCAGGAAGAGACGAATGGCAAAATAACCATACACCGACTCACTCAGAGCATGACCTAGTCTGGTTTACAGACGGGTCCAAAATAGGAGATGATGTAGGATGTGGAATATGTGGTGTAAAACCCAAAATCTGCAACTATATAGGCTTAGGAAAATACGCCTCAATCTTTCAGGCAGAGACTTACGCCTTAATTAGATGTCTGGAAGTAATCCTAAGCCTCAACTACATCAATCAGAACATATACATTTATTCGGACAGTCAAGCTGCTCTACTAGCACTTAACTCGTACGAAATCCGTTCTACACTTATTAGAAACTGTATCCTGCTACTAAATGAAGTAGGAAGCAGAAATAATATTATACTGAGATGGGTCCCCGGGCATTCAAATATTGAAGGCAATGAGAATGCCGACCATCTGGCAAAGTTAGGGGCAAAAACCGTCCAACTGGGTCCCGAACCCTTCTGTGGTGTGCCTCGTTGCCTAAAACTGGGACATCTCAAATTAATAACCAAACGAGAAGCACTGAATCACTGGCAAGAAATGCCAGGATTAATACATTCAAAAGACCTAATATCGGGCTTCTCGACCAAATACTCCAATAGATTACTGCTATTGAGTAAAAACAACATATGCATGATGACTAGGGCCCTCACAGGACACTGCAAATTGAACAAGCATATGGCTAAGCTAGGCCTAAGCACGACAAGTATCTGCAGATTCTGCCAAACTGAAGAGGAAACGCCGCTTCACATCCTATGTGGTTGTAGCCCACTCATGCATAAACGAAATATCTCCTTTGGAAAGTTTACACTCTTTCCCGAGGAGATAAAAACGATCGCTCCTAAGAATATCCTTCAATTCTTGTCCCTGACGGGTCTAGGTAGCGAAATCTGAAAAGGGCGAGCACAATAGATCTATGTAGGTCGCAGTGCTACAGGTGCTACACATCTGACAATAGCCCAAACAACCCAATAAAAAAAATCCTCGGGCCTTGGGCTGCATCCGCCTCTGTGCTATACTAGACAGATATATTACAGAAAAAAAAACACTTCGTTACCTATGTCGACGTCATATCATGGAGGTATTATTATCTAATAATACAGAGATATGTATACTATCTAGTCCATGCTACAGCAGAACACTCAAAATTCATGATCGCTGGAATTTATGAAAGTTATTGATTTAGTTTTATTTATATTAATTATTAGGTATTTATTTTGAAAAGTACCACCAATGAAGAGTAGATGATACCGACTCCTAGGTAGACGGTAGTTTGAAACGATATGTATTTAGTGGTGTTTATTGTATATTGTACATATTATGTCTATTGACGGTAACCATTTTCCATTCGGTAAATCGATTTGTCAAAAATTACGTAATACTGCATTGTATTTTGAAGACTAGAACTGAGGTGGGTATGTTTATGTTAGAAATCAATATTGTAGATAATTCAGTTTCTAAAAATATGTGATTATAGCAATTTACTGTGAATAGATTCATGAATTAATATGTTAAGTCGTTATCACTGCATTTGAATTGATATTACATTATGACATCACATCCAGGATATTGGTGTTTTCGATTAATCTATAATGTAAGTATAGCATAAAGTAATAAATTAAAACTAGGAAGGGAGGTTCTAAAAAGATAATAGGTATATAACACTATTTATGAGCCAACTAAAATATAACCATTTAAAACAATTGAACAGGATATTAACAAGTTATTTACACACCATTTAAGTAATTATAGGTACTTATAACTTCTTTAAATGTTGTTAATAATGCTCACGTAAATATAAGTATTGGAACTATATTTCAAGCCAGTTAGTATGAATACGTTGTTTCATTTTATACTTACACTACTAAGAGTTTTTTCACTGAATGCCATTAGGTACTTTATATATATACATTATACTCTATAGGTATACTTTTGTATCAAAAATTAATGTGTCCACTATTTTTGAGAATTCTTTTTTATGTAGGTATTATATATTTTTCATATTTATATTATTTATGTACTTATAACAATTATGTTGAAGACTAGAATGAGAAATAGCGAAATATCTTTGTAAATATTATTCGCTTCCTTTATAAAATAATGCTTCTACTGATCACTGCAGTTGTTACGAAAGCGAGAGAAATAAATGTTTTATTCGAAGGAGGCTAAATGGCAATAAACAGGGATTCACTGTAATAAACTGTTTTTGATCATTTATTTTATTCCATCATTGTGTCATCATATATATTTGTAGATAGATTTTTTTTTCATATTACCGATGTTTTAACATTATACTCATATCTTGACATGCAGCCTTTAATAGTTCATTTTTCAATTTCAGGTACGCGCAGGTATTACGCAGGGAAATAAAAAAAACCTTTTTCGAAATCATATTTCTGTAAAATCTATAGAACTTGTGTCAATGTTACCTTATTGCCTTCTAGTCGCAGTGTGGTAGTGCTAGGCGGAAGGTTCGCTGGTGGCTGGTCTAGTCGTCTTCCTGCGCAGTCGACTGTGATCAGTGGTATGACTGTACCGGCTGCATCAGACACAACGTGCGTCATCATGCACGCACACGGCACTGGACATGTATGCCGAATTTTCTGTGTTAACAAATTAAATATTACAGTTAGAATAAAACAAAGTGGAAGGTGTTACATATCAATGTGGATGGTTATATGGGCAAAGGAAGACCGATAAAGAGATGATTGCGAACAGGGATGGATGGAAGAGAAAAACATATTACACCGACCCCAAAATAAATGGGATAAGGAAGAAGCAGATGATGAGTTAGAATAAAACAAATATTCCCATTTTATTTTCTCTGATATCCAAACAATAATACAAATTTAATTTTTTGCAAATTGCACCATAGAGAATGAAAACTCGGAAATAAATCCTCAAACCACATACCAAGTACCAATTACTAATTTCACCTTATATTTATTTATACTCCTTATTGCATCAGATACAGAAAGTAATTTAATTAAATAGTTAAAATATTTAACATAAACATTAACAAAAGCGGCCTTATCATTATGCGATTACTACCTTTGGGTAAAGAAAGTAGCATGAAGATAAGAAAAATCATCTTATGGCACAAAAGAGATTTCCATGTTTTAGTATTAATTTACAATGATATATAACAATAAGATGTATACAAGGTACTATGTTTTGATTCTTCATAATACATCTTCATACACATTATTATTATTAGAAAAGTCTAGTCTGAACTTTTCTTTACTGTTGCATTTGATATATATATCTATCAACTATATCTATCAATCAACTACGTCTATTTTTTTTATTTTCCGCTTATTTTCTTTAGTTCTTATGAATTGGTATATTTACATATTGTGTGATTGTGTTTTTATTACTCATTTTATAAGCAATACAGTCTTAAAACTTTTATTTTTACAGCTATTCAAATATTGAACAACAGAGAAAAAGTGAAATGTAAATCAATTCTCATAGTAAATAGAGTAGAGTCTTTGATTGAGCTAAAAGGACACAGTTCGGGACGTGTTATACATATATTACTAGAGTTATACATATATAGCATATGGTATTTGGTATGGAATTAACATAGTGGAATAATTTAAAAAAAATACCTATCGTTAGGTTTTTTCCGTAGGTTTTCAATTTTCAGTTAACACTTTGTTCGTGATTATGGACTATAAATCTTAAAATAGAATACGACTTTTCCATAAGTATGGTCAAACAATATAAAGTGATATGGAGATAAAAGGACAATGAATGAATTTCGGATAATAAAATTACGTTTATTTATAAGTACTTAATGTGAATGGCAAATATACACAGATAATACCGTTTTAACCAAATATTGGGCTTTCATTATCTAACAATTTGCTTACAATTCGCCAAACGAATAAGGTATGATCACATTTTTCTTCGTTATTTTAATAAACACAAATTGATATGTCTTCTATGCTTACTTCCTTGGGTAGCTCTGTCTCATCTTCCAATGCATACGGGTGTCCGATCCCCGTAAATATATTGAAATATTAATCTGAATCTTAATAATATTATATCTGCGAAAGTTTGTAAGTTGGATGTTTGTTACTCTTTTAAGCAAAAACTACTGAACGGATTTTATTGAAACTTTATAGTAATATAGCTTATGCATCAGAATATACTGCAATGCACATAGGCAATAATTTAAAAAGATACTATGTAAATTGGATATCGAAATATAATGATAAATGTCACGTAGGTGTCAAGCAGACGAAGTTGCGCGGGTCAGCTAGTCAAAAATAAAGTCGGCATATATTGCATTATTAGTCGAGAATAGTTGTATAGGTATACTGTTAAAGTTACGATCATAGGTATCTTTAAAAAGAAATATTTACAATCATACTCGATAGTTGTTTCTATATGATTTTGATGAGTCACAATGTTCACGTTCATCTTCTGATGAAAAAAAAACAATTTTTTATGTGTTATCATGGATTGGTGTGCTCGCCTGCGGTGGACACTAGAAAGTTTGAGTAAAAATCGGGCAAGTTGGTCCATAATGGTAAATTTATTAGGAATTCGTCACTATGATTTTCAGAGAGCATCGCATGGAACTCGATCTAATGTACTCATTGCTAGTAAGGAGATGATTAGTATCTAATATTTACAATTTCTTAAACTATTGTACATGTATAGTTACTTTTCAATTTAAATACAACGATACATACTAGCCATGTTTTTTTATTATTTTAATTAGTCGTTTCCGTGTTCACCTTCATCAGGATTATATCGACTTACGTATGGAGTTACCAGGGCACTGGTAGCACATGTCAATGTCGAAATGCGCTGTAGGTGGAATTCCGCTTACCCGGTCATCCAACTGTGGTGAATCATTAGTTAAGTGCAAACGTCGCAAGATTGCAGAATAGTGATGAGGTATTGGGTATCATTCACATTCTATGTAAGCATTTATTGTAACTGATTATGCAAACAATAGATATATTTCCACTGAATTTAGTAAATTTCTTCGTTATTAGCAACGCGCTTTAATTATATTTATCTTGACTAGTTAGAAATTTAAACAAAGATTAAAAATCCCATAAGCCATGCTGGATTAAAATTTGTATTACAAAATGTGGCAACGTCAATGTCTCTGTCTACCCCATCTTGGATATCAATAATGAAAGTACAACCTATTCAGATAAATAAAGTAGGAGTGTCTGTTTCTAATATTGAAATAACCGTTTTTTATTACATGCATATACGGTACATACACAAAAATAACATTAATTACAACTTTTGTCTGTCTGTCCGTTTATTCCGGCCAATCTCTGAAATGGTTGTACCGATTTTCACGGGACTTTTTTGGAAGGTAGCTAGCTGATGTAAATGTTAGGAGTAACTTAGACTATTTTTATTTTAGAAAAATAAAGTTAAATTACACTCGGACTACCTCGCGGGAACAGCTAGTATATTAAAATTAAGTAGGTATATAATTAATGTAAGGTACAAACTGTCCAGTTATGATGATTCTTTATTTTTATTATTATTATTAAGAATATTTCTTGTAAGGTCTGTTGTCTGGAGTTCTATCTAATGATTTTAAAAGGTATGTAATATGTTACATAGTTGCATTTATAGAATTGTCGCGTATTGAAAATTTGATAAACGATGCCTTAGTTTTTTAATTATGAAAAACTTGCAAAAATATTAATTTACGCTACTTCATTATGTGAATAGAAATTGGTGTTATGTTGGCGAAATGTTGCAAATAATAAAATGTACGTAATGAATTATACATATACTAAATACTTACTAAATAATAATAGAAATAAGAACATAAAATACAGTGGGAGCGACACGTTAATGCGAAATTAACAATATAGAGTAATTTTAATTACCGAAAATTATTACCTTAGCAAACAATAAGTACCTGTCTACTGACTTAGAAGAAAACGAGTTTAATCTGGTAAAAGTTTTGGTTTTATCTTGTGACTGTCACAATCGGAATCTCGTACTGATTCATATATAAGTGTATATTAATAATATTAGTATATTTTATTAGATGTTGGCCAGAGTCATTTAATAACAAAAATCTTTTAAAATAAACAATAAAACCAAATAACGCTGTTCGTAATATTCAGGTAGGCTTCTTATTACTCTTCACTTCACTTTTTTTACTTCTTATCCATTAGGTATATATTCCAAGAACATAGAGTCCTAGATGATCACAGGGTCATCACAACGATGTATTTACGTTAGTATTGAGATAGTTATATAATTATTACACTCAGTATATGGTATGTAGGGAATAGAGTGTTACAGAACTACTCAGTTTTCAAGTCAGTTGCAAATTCATTCAGTACGTTGCGTTACTTCAAGTAACAAAATCTTAGTTTTTATACGGCGTCCACACGGCTTATAAATCAACCACAATATCAGAGCAGTGTTGGGGAGGGAGGGGAAATTAGGATCAATTTCTCACAGTACCTACCCCGCCGCGCCGCCCGTGTTGATTTTACTCTCACCATCACAACCCCACTTTTCCTCAGATTTTAGGGTTTTGTGAAGGTCATTTAAAGTTTAAGGTATAGCAATTATGTACCTTCTCACAGTACAGATTATTTTTTATTTTATGAATATTCGTTTTAAACCAAATTTATAAAATATATCTTATATAAATGTGTGACTTAAATATTTATTAGTGACATTAATTTACGTTTTATATGTTTAATATAAAATGTTTTTAATATACAATTTTATTTATATATGTTTTAAAATATTAATCAATTCTAGAGCAATCCTTTAAAAATCAAGTGGTTCCGAAAATGGTACCAAAATCTATCCACTTAATGCTATTGCCACTTACAATAATGCTGTTGTATGGATACATTATATCCGATAACATGTTATGGAATTTACCACACTTGAGCTAAGTAGCTGTTAATGATTTAGCCACGTAAATAAAACTGTAATGTCTCTGTATGTTATTTTCAAAATTTTAGCTTCGCATTGGTTTGGGTTATTTGTTTGTTTTGTTTACAGCTGGCAGATAAAATATATATTATACGTAGTAACGGTGTAGTGATACTTAATTATTCATTTGTTGTCTGGCCAAAGTATAAATAAAATGTTGGAAAAAAAATTGCTCTGTACAGCTTCTTTTATTTAATTTGTGACCATGTTTCCAGGTATCTATGAAATTATTGTTCTATCTAATATTAAAAAGGGATAAGGTTTCTGAGTTTGCATGTTGCGGGTAATATTCGGGACTACTGATATTTACCGATTTTATAAACTCCATTAGTATTTGATAGCTAATTTATCGACGAAGGCTACCGAAACATCACCAACAGGAGTGGAGATGTTGTAGTTGTAAAAATGTTGGATAAACATGTGAAATATAGTTGCGCGGGTCAGCTAGTTTTGTATAAAGTAATTCCATAATTAGTTGTATACAAAAATAATAGTTCCATCTCGTAATAACGTTAGAAGTTGACAAACCGACATGCCAATAGTTTCATTTAATGTTAGACATAGACACCTATATAACCATAAAATTAAGTAAAGTTGCTTTTTTAAAAAAGAAACTCAATTTAATTTCATAACAGTTCAATTGAGGACAATA